CCCCCGCCCCGCCCCGCCCCGTCTCCGCCGCCACTGCCAGGCTCTCCTCGGGTATCCCAGGGGCCCCTGTCCTCACTACTCTGTCCTCTTCTACTTACGGCAGGCGGGCGCGCAGAGAGCTGAAACCGAAGACAAGGAGGGTGGGGGAGGGGAGCCGCTCAGCCACGCCCCCTTTGCCGAGAGCCCCGGCACCCCCTCCCTGCCCGCATCAGTACCTTCCCTGGTGTACGCGGGGAGCTTGGTGTTTTGCAGCCAACGCCAATACAAGGGGAGGGAGGAGAGAGACCCTTTGATCTCTGGGGAGACAGAGGGCAGCGATATTGCCCGGCGCCTGGCCAGGGCAGGCTCACCTCCACCCTTCTCCCAGCACCTCCCGGATCACGGATCACACCTTCCCGGCTCCAGCTGCCCGCCCTGCAGAGGCATCTTAACTCTTTTGCTCCTCATGGAAACCCTGGGTCGTGCCTTGCCCCTTGACCTCACCCATGACCCTCAGGACTCTGTGAGTCTTCTCTATGACTTTGTTCATGGACGCCTCATCTGTGGAGACGGGCAGGGACCTGTGATTCTCTCCCCACGGGGAGAGGCCCGCGTGTCCAGAGAGGCCTGTGGACTCAGGCGGCGCTGAGGGGCCCAGCTGGGAAGCCACAGGCTGCCCCACTCGGGGTGTGGTGGCCGCTGTTGCCCGGCCTGTCTCTGGATGTCTGAGCTTACCTAAGGCAAAGGCCGGGAAGCTCCAGGAGGCCCCACAATCCTTCCACAGAACCTCCACTCGGCTGCAGAGTTGAGCCAGGCGGCCCGACAAGTCACGGGCTGAGAGGTGGCAGAGGACACAGGCCTGGGCAGTGGCCAGGAAAACCCCACCTAACGCCAGCATCCACATGAGGCCTGCTGGCGAGTGGCGGACGGGGGCCGGCCCCACTGAGGCTGCGAAGGCCTCCGAATGCTACGATCCTGGTTCCAACTCTTTGCTGGAGATTCTAGCGTGTTCCAGAACAGTTGGGGATTCTAGAACATTCTGGAACGGTGCCACTGTGCCATCTCTAGCTGGGGCAAAGGTGGGGCCCAAGGAACTGACGGCCAGAAGGAGACTGGGGCAGAGAAAGCAGGGCTTCTGCCGCAAAGGGGACAGCACCCCCCAACCTGGCCCTCAGCAGCCTTGACAAGTTTGAGGTTCCACAAAGCAATTTTATTTTTCTTCTTGTAAATCATGACCAGCCATAAATAATGAGTGAGTGACTCCCCCAGTGAAGAAGTTGTGCATGAGCATCCCATTCCTCGGGGACCCAGAAATCCCATCCCTTCCCCTATCCTCCCCCCACTCTCCCCACCTCTTCTGTTCATCTCCCCTCTGCCCTGGGCAGCCTTGGGCCTTCCCAGCCGTCTCCTAGCAACGTGGCCATGGTTGCCTTAGCCACCGAGAGTTCTATACCGGGCTCCCAGGCCCGGCTGGGCCCACTGACCTCTCTTACCTGTCGTCAGGAAGATCCTAGTGACTCAAACCTCAACAGGCCCCTCCTGCCTACGTGGTGATGTGACCATACACGCACCCCCCTTCTGATGAAACTACTAATTCTCAGTCTACTCACACCGTACCACAGACATACGGTGCCCAAAGAGTTGCTGGGCAACCCCAAACAGGCCTGGACACGCAGGGACCGCAGAAAGACCGGCACACACATACTGTCTCCGCCAATGCAGACGGCAGAGACCCAGCGTCGGTCAGACACACTGTGAATGTGAACGAAGTAAGGCCAAGCCCCGAGAAGATGCTACCCTCTTCCCTGTGGCCAACTCCATCAATACGGGGCCCTTGAAAACACTTGGCTCTCTAGAGTACGGGGCTCCAGCCCCACAGTAAATGAGGATTCTCCTAGCTCCCTTATGCCAACCTAGGGTAGGGTGTAGCTTTTCTGTCTCCCTCACTAGGTGACCTGAGACACAGCAAAGAATCCCCCTTCCCATATTCCAGAATGTTCTGGCCTCTCTTTGGTCAGGCCAGGCCAGGCCCATCCAGTGGCAGGAGAAGCCACGGTCCAGGAGACCACATCGCAGCAATCCAAAGTCTTTCTCCCACACTTCAGTGTCCCTCCAGGGTCCTGCTAGGCCTAGCCTGGGCAGAGAGGTGTCCCTACTTTTCTAGAACGCTGAATACTGAGCTCCAACAAGGAGACGCCAGAGGCCGCCAGCCTCAGGCTGAGCAAGCCTGGGAACCTTCCCCACCCCTCCCAGGATTAGCACCAGTCCAGACCCATCATGTGGCTTGTGAGCCCTCAGCAGGCTCAGACTTGGGAATTGCTGCCCACACCTGGGCTCCAGTCAGAAGCAGTGGGGCCCCTGACTCTCACAGCTCCAGAGGCAGAGCTAAGAAGAGGCTTCAGGGGGGCCTTCATTCCCTTTGCTGTCCATCCTCTCCCCCCACCCCAGTTAGATGGGAGGGCCGCGGGCTCAGTGCCGCACGAAGCGCAGAGATCGCGAATTGAGCAGGTCTTCGGGGTCAGGGAAGACGGAGTCTAGACGGAAGCCGTGCTCCAGAGCCACCCGCAGCACCTCCTCCAGGAAGCCTGGCGTGCCCACCACCTCCCGGAGCTCTCCAGGCCCCCCAGTCCACAGAGGCTGCAGCCCCAGTCTCCTATACTCCACCTCGGGGAGTTCTGCGGGACAGGGAGCCCACTCCAGACGAAAGTGTGGGCCTCCCTCTGCCCTGTCCTCACTGGCCACCCCAAATCGGGCCCGCATGGCACCCAGGCACTCGGGGTCGGTGCAGAAGATGTTGGCTCGGAAGGTATCCACTTGCACAGAGCTCAGCTCATAGTGGTGTGGGCCCCGGCGAGCAGAGAAATGCACCAGGCGGGGGCTGGCATCTACATCTGCGTGGAGCAGGGCGGCCGTGGGTACAGGGGCCCCCCGAGAGGCCTCCAGTTCCCGCAGGGCATCCAGGAGGGGCTGGATCTGGTAAAAGTCGGCCTCTGCCCTGAGAAGTGCTGTCTCCCCATACCCACGGGGCAGGTCCAGGCGGCCCAGCCGCAGGAAATTGAGGATGTGCCGGAAGGCCTTGCCATCTCTGTCAATGAAGTAGTGGCCGCCTCCCTGCGGGTTGAGGTTGGGGGCTATGGGGGTGCCGGCCCTAAACATGGCCCCCAGCATGGAGTCTGGGAAGCGAGTCAGGGTCTCCAAAGTGGTGGAATATAGTGTGCCCCCCACATTCAGGGTCACAGGGCCCCCAAAAGAGGGGGGCGAAGAGGGCACAGGAGGAGGCGAAATTTTGGGGAGTACAGGAGACACCGAAAGAGAAGAAAAGGCAGAACTCCCTGGGTGTGGGCAGAATTGGGTCATAAAGTTCAGACTGTGTCTGGGTTGGATGCACAGGCTGGAGCACAAGGCAGTAAGATCTGGGGCTCACCCCAGCTACCTGGGTAGTGGGGGACGGTTTCCGGGCACAGACACGGCCAAGAGCTTGAGAGAACGGTTGAAAAGCACAGAAGCCAGGCAGGGAGGGAAGGGAGATTTCGGTCCAGACGCATTCGATTCTGGGCGGAGGGTCAGCGACTCCTCTCTGAGGTCTTCAGACAGCGGGTTTCCGGAATCCAACCAGCAGATGACGGCGGCGAGCACAGGCCGACCCTTGGAAGGACCCCGCTTCCGAGTTCTCGGGTAGATCGCTGTCGCCGCGGGCGAGTCCACGCAGGGCCTCGGGGGCCAGTCGCAGGCCTGGCCTGGCTCCGGCGCGGGTCTCAGGAGACGGAGGCGGGGCTGACGCGAGCGGGCGGTGCAGGTGGCGCCCTGTCCACCGGGGAGCGGGGATGCGCGCTCAGCGCCAGCCGGGAGCGCCGGAGGACTCTGATGGAAGCAGCCGGGAGTCTCGGGGCCCGGGCGCCGCCGCCTCCCCGGGTGTCGCCGCAGCCGCCGCAGTTCCTCTCCGCCCCCAGGAAGTGGCCTAAGGGCAGCGGCCGGGGGTTCCTTTAAGGGACAGCCCCGCCCCCTGGCGCCCCGCCCCCCC